AAATGATCAATTGTACAATGGCTTTACCAATGGGCTTAAGTATAACAATAATTGTGAGGATGGTGTGGAGCTGGGCAGTGTTTCATTCTGTTCCACGTAGGGTTACTTTGAGTCAGAACTGACTTGACAGTACCCATCAATAACAACAATGGTCCACCAATATTTCAAATGCCAACAGTTTTGTGGGGCTTCTACACCAAAACAGTCTAGCAAGTACAGTCTGTTGATCCAGCTCCAAAAATTGACCAATAAGGCAGACCCTGTGGATCATGATACACACTATCACTTGATACGGTCCTGGAAGATGAGACTCTCAGTTGGAAGGCACTCAAAATACACTGGCCATAGTAATAGAGTCAAATATACCAATAGTCATGTGGATGGTGCAGGACCAACCAGACATGAGTCCCCTGTGTTGTACTAAGGCCACTGTGAATTAGAGCCAACTTGACAGCCACAGACAGCATTAGCAAAGTTTTTCTCAGTAATGAAATTTGAGGTGTTAAGTTTTGCCTTCTTTTTAAACAAGATTCTTGATAATAAGCACATGTGATTTTTACACAACATAAAAATAAAATGCTCTTTCGTACAAAGAAACAACTTCCTTGTTTCTCTTTAAGGAACAGAAAAAAATAACTCAGGAACTTTCCATCACATAAACCTCACGAGGACTGAGTAGACAGTGTCGATGTGTGGTATGGCAGAGTACACAATTTATCTCAAGGCATTATCTATTCTGTCATCTGATCACTGTAGTGTTTTGTTTTGTTATTTTCCTTGAGCCTTGCAAAATCTGAATGAGGCAGAGAAAAATTTCATCCACAAGAACAGACAATGAAATGAAGACAGGATGTGGTTTTCTTTATTTTTCTACCTCTAATCCTAAGATTGCTACAGAATGTTTACAATAATCCACAGCACCTAATTAATCATTACATTAAATGCACAAGATAAAAGATTGGGAAGAATAAACTGTATGATATCCCCCCCCCCTTTTTTTTTTTTTTGGTACTATACCCTGAAATCAAACTAGCAATATCCTTTGGAGCAAAGAAAGGAAAAAAACTTCTAAGCCATTTTCGGGCTTCTGATCTTTCAGCCAGCACCCTGTTGGTTTGGCCGTCAACATCATTTATGTCACTGGGATGATGAACTCGTCTTGAGAGTCTGATTCAGAGCCGAAGCATGTAGTTTAAAGAGACCCTTTTTCACTTGTCTTTCTGATGAATAAATAAATTTAGCCATGAACTTACATCAGTTTATGTGGGCAATGGCAACTAAAAACCGCCCTTGTCCAGGGAAGCAGTTCTCCCTCTCCCCCATGAAGAAAGCCTCGACTTCTGGATTTCCTAGAGTCAACTGAACATTGGGACATGGACAGGATCCTTTGGAAATGGGAGGGTGAGCATTTGGGGAGACTTCACACAGGTTAAAACACAGAAGACGAAATTACGCCATAGAAAATAATTCCATTCACTTGTAACCAATGTTGAAATGAATGTCTGTTTCAGCGTTTTCTAAAATTGCTCTTGGCTATGTTTACTATTCTATTTGTAAACTTTTCTCCAAAGGAAAAAAAAATGACAGTCTCAGTAGGAATGATTTCATACCAATATTTTCAAAATAAGACTATATTTTGCTTTTTATAGAATGATATCTTATTGATGGAATATTTTAATTAATAATTTCTTGATTTACTTGCATTTGTACTTATTTATTTTTCACCTAAAGGTAGTAGGATAGATGTATGTCAGCAAATCAAACTTTCAACGCTAGCTTCCTTACTCATTGTGTTCTGTGTGATGTTGAATAGCTTCTGCATCTCTTACTCTTTATTTCATCCTCCTTAAAACTGGGACAACCCAAATGTCACAAAGATGTAAAAATAAATTAAATGAATTTATCTACAAGAAAGTACTTGATAAATTATAAGATAATTTAGATAACCTTTTTGTTAATAATTTGTTATTGATGGTCATTGGTTATTTGGATAGGAACTCAGTAGAACTTATTTATTAATGATAACTAAAGAAGAAGGCAGTATTCTTACAATTAATAATTTATAATCTATTTCCCGGTCATCGAGTCATTACTGACTCACAATGAGGCCCTGTTGGGTTCCAGACAGTAACTGTTGAGAGGAGCAAAAAGCCTAGTCTTTCTCCTGTGGAGCTGCTGGTGGTTTCGAACTGCTGATCATGAGGATTGCAGCCCAACATATAACCCACTACACCACCTGGGCTCCTTTATAATTTATAGTTATGTGAAAAAAGTAGAAAGTATTTATGTTCAGTTATCCAGCATTTGGAACCACATCCTTGTTACGTTTTTGTTTTGTTTTTTTCGGTCCCCCTTAAATAAATTCCCTTAAAAATTGCTTATAGCATTTGAATAATCACATCAATCTCTTTCATTTTGGAAAAGTATACTTATTGGGGAATTCTTCCTTCCATCGAAGTAAGATCTCACCCTTCCACACTCACGCATGCTCTCTACTTGATTCCAGCTCAGAGAGGCCCCACAGGGCGGAGGAGATCTGCTCCTCTGTAAGTCTCTGAGATTTTAGGGGAGCACAGTATCCTCCATCTCTCTAAATTAGTGATGCTAATTCTTCTCTCAGTGTCAACAAGAATAGATTTTTTAAAAAGAAATAGACCATAATGCATCCATAATTTCTTATTTTTGTTTCAAATATGCTCTCCTAATGCTATTCGATCATGACAATAGAGCCTTTGTTTTTTTCTTGCTCCATCACCCTTGACATGCAATCTATCAAAAATTCCTATGGGTACTACCTTCAAAAGTTAACCCAAGTGTAACCACTCTCATCAATTCCAGGGCCACCACCTTGGTCTCAGGTATCCACACCTCTCATGAGGACAGTGACAGATGTCTCTAGATCGTATTCTTTCCAGTCTTGACCTCATAGGGTCCTTTCTAAACACAGCAGTCAATTTGACTTTGTTGATAATGTAAATGGCTTCCTTTGCACTTCAAAGCAAAATCTCTGTGATGCCTATAAAGTTCTACATAATCCAGCTCCGCCTTTTCCTGAACCTCTTCATTTACTCTCTAGCTCACTTCACAACCCCAGCTCAACTCACCTTCTTGTATCCCTTGGACATGCTAGCTTCACACCCACATTAGCTTCTCTCTGGATCGAATATACCTGTGTATCTGTCCAAAGATGGACTCTGATTATTTCGGTTTCTGTTCAAATATTCCATTCCTAGAAAGTCTACTGAGAGTGGCAGCACATTTCCTTCATGGTTTCTATTGTCCTTATAACACCTACTACCAACTTTAAATTTGTACTGGCTTGTTTATTACCTCTCCCCTTTCCAGAAGGTACTCATACAAGGACACGCATAAGATCTATCTTATTTATAATTTTAGCTTTGGTAGCTCCTGTGACCTGCCATTATGTTCAAACAGGTCTCAGCTTGCTGACCCTTAGAAACTCCTCCTTGGAAGGCTGACCACTCATTGGCTGGTGTTAGAGATTGTGTTATGTGTTACAAAACCTAACTCATACCTGTGCTTCTAATCCCAGTGGGGAATGGGTTTTCGGTGCACATTAATGAGGCAGTATTAGTGTGTCTTAAGTAGATCTCTTTTGAGGCATTGAAGAGCAAGAATGGTGAAAGATAGATAGAAGCAGGCCATATGAAGATCACCAAGGAGAAAGGAAATGGAAGAGGAAAATAAAGGCACAAGGACCTTCCCCGAAGCAGACAGAAAAAGCAAGTCTTCCCCAAGAGCCAGCAGCCTGAATTCAGATTTCTACCTTCCAAAATGTTCAAAAAATACTTTTCTGTTTGTGAAAGCCACTCATTTGTGTTTCTATGAAGCACCACTAGGTAACTAAGGAACTTTACTATAAGACTGGTTCCCTGCGCCAAGGTGTCAAGACTGGTTGTGCAAACGGTGTGGTTTGTTGAGTGTCTGCTTTCTTTCTGGGCATCTATATTTTGGGTATGGGTAGCCTGCCTCTAATAACTTCTCTGTGCATTAAGCATGTAATGAGTAGCCTAAATGGATAAACATCATAAATACAATTAGATACCACTGGCATTATGCATGTCTGTATGATTCCAAGAAGCCCTGGAGACCTACTCTTTGTAAATATCACACTGCTAGCCACCAGCCACTCCTTAGGAGAAAAATGAGGCTTTTTACTCCTGTAAAGATTTACAGTTTTGGCAACCCACAGCGGCAGTTCTACTCTGACTTACAGGGTCACTTTGAGTTGGAATCGGGAGTGATAGGATACTGAATTCTTTAGGTCCTTCAAGCAAGTCACTGAATGTGGGTGGTCTTGGGGTTTTATAACTGAGCAACCAAAAAGCTTATTTCCGCCTCAAACGGTTCAAAACAATTGAATAGAACAACGCATAAAAGAATCCCATAGCATGGGAATAAATCTGGTATAAAAATAAAACATCCTTCTTTGTAACAGATTTCCCTGGTAGTTACATAATCTAGTGTCAACTTGGGACTATTAAGGAAGAAGGGGTGGAGGTTGGCCTGTCAATCAGTTTGCAACTTGATGATCTCATTTGGAGGCACCAAGGAGATATATAGCTCTCTGGAGGTGGGACACACAGACTCCCTGTGAGACATTCCATCTGACAAAACACATGGAGCTACACTAGTGCTGTGGAGCTGGAGGAGTCACGTGGAGACACCTGCCAGCACTCAGATGCTTCCACTGCCATTGGATTCACAAGACTTTCCACCCACTGGCCTGTGATCTTCCTGTATTTGGCTTTATTGCACAGCTCTGTAAGTCTGAAGAGGAATTTATGGACTACTATTGGACATATGGGCTAATATTAGACTTATGAAATTGATCTGGATTGGGCTGGGATGTTTCTCAATATACAATTGCTCTTTTATATAAAGCTCTTTCTTATACACATAAGAATGTCCATGAATTTATTTCTCTAGTCAAACCCAGACTAACACGTTCCATACCAGGAAAACAATTTACTACTTACGTAACTGGCCTGTAGATTTCCTTAACACCAATAAACTGAAGCTGTTCCATTATGTCTGGAATACTTGCACATCGAGTAAGATTAATTCTTGGGTAATAAAGAAGGTAGGAGAGGCACATTTCATTCCTGGTGCTTAGTCCTCCCTGAAATTGGAAACACTATATATAGAAAGGTGTATGTTCTACCAATTATGACATTTATAACATCTAAACCAGTAATACCACACTATTCCTTCCAACAGAGAAATATAATGCATTTCAAAGCTGAGGAGGAATAATCTAAATGATGATATGGCTATTAAGAAGATAATGACACTCACACAGCAGATAACGTGTCATCTTTTCCTTGACAAGAAATATCAAAGTAGGAGGACTTAAAATCCTCTTTTAACTAAATGACATTTGATCAGGAGGACTAAGGTGCTCCCAATTTTTGATTCACTAAGCGGCTACATTCTAGTTCATTGCATATTCTTCTTGCACAAGCCATGAGCTGCCTATTTCAGGAAGAGAGAGAACAGTTTGGTTAGTCCATGGATACACCATTTTATCACTTGTCCTGCTGTCTATAAGTAGAAGAGAAAAATTAGGTAGAGAGTTATAAGTATCAATGAAAGAATTATGAATCATATTTTGAACGTTCATAATAAAAATCAAGGTGAAAAAGAAAAAGAAGTTACTAACACATTTAAAAATTAACAAATTGTTCCATCTCCCAAAATTGTCTTTCTTTTTTAACTAACTTTGTCATCTCTTTATGTAACGCAAAATTCTCACTACAATGAACATTTCAGAGGTCTATGAGGATGCTGGGTTAACATAATACCAATTAGTTTGATAACTTTCTGCCTGATTATATTTTACAAACTTGTGGCCATCATATGTATAAGTATGTCTAATATAGAGGAATGACATTTCACTTTTTCAAAAAAGACCCTTGCCGGGCGTGGTGGTGTGTGCCTGTAGTCCCAGCTACTTAGGAGGCTGAGGCTGGAGGATGCTTGAGTGCAGGAGTTCTGGGCTGTAGTGCGCTGTGCCAATCGGGTGTCCGCACTAAGTTCGGCATCAATATGGTGACCTCCCGGGAGCAGAGGACTACCAAGTTGCCTAAGGAGGGGTGAACTGGCCCAGGTTGGAAATGGAGCAGGTCAAAAAATACCTTTAATTTTGATTTGGGTGGAAGTTTACAGAGCAAATTGGTTATCCTTTCAAGAATTGATACACATTTTGTTTTGTGACATGGAATGCAATTCCTATAATTCACAGCACTCTTCCCACATCCTTCCTTTTTTACCATTTCCATTTTTCTTTCTTCCCTATCCCTTCTTGCCTTCTAAGCATTCTTGCTGGGCAAATGTTGCCCTTTCATTTCGTAGAGTTGATTGTTCTAAGGAGTGCACACCTCCATGATGTTATTGCTCGCCATACAGGCCTATTATTTGGCTGAATGTTGAGCCACTAGCATGAGTTCAGCTCCAGACTTGAAGAGCATCTAAGGAAATTTCATCAGTGATTCCCCCGTCTCTAATGCACTCAGAGATATATACGTATACACACATGCACTTATATGCATTGCAAATACACGTATGGATATCATGAAGCAAAATTAAAGCTTCTTAGATTAAATCAAACACTTTGAGGGAATGAGTCACCAAGGCAAGGAGTTCAGGACTGTCATCTTGGGAACATAGGCAATTGGCACAACGTCGTCATCAAAAAACATGTCCTACAACTGACTTTGGTGAGCAGCAACTGGGGTCTAAAAGCTTGTGAATGGCCATCTAAGGTGCAACTATTAGTTTCTCTTTGAGCAAGAAGAGTGAAATAAATCAAAGACTCATGAAAACAATTGGTCCAAAGGACTAATGGACCATGACCAGCCTAAATGACCCTGAGACCAGAAGCACTAGATGATGTCTCACTGCCACTTCTGACCACTCTGAAAAGGATCATAAAGAGAAGTCCTAAATAGAGTAGGAAAGAGATGTAAGTCAAAACTCAACATCAAACAAAAGATCAGGTTTACTGGGCATATTCCACATTATAAATATAAGCAAATTAATGATCTACTAAATTTGGTTACTATTGCTTTAATCGGTCTTAATATACAGTAACTCATTTCCCAACTTGCTTTTCCTTTTGTGGAATGGATTGCCTCTTTTTAAGGGATCCTGGTAGTGTAGTTGTTACGTGCTTTTCTGCTAAATGAAAGTGGATAAACTCACCAGTCACTCTGAGTGAAAAAGTTGCAGCTGAGTTCTTCCATAAAGATTACAACTTTAGAAGCTCTGAGAGGCAATTTTACTTTGTCATTTATGAATGGTATGAGTCAAACCCATTCAATAACAAGAGGGTTATTGCCTATGCTTATACCTTTGTTTTTTCATGTAGATTATAAAGTCAACTTGCTACATATAAGTGTAAAAAATTGTAAAATTTTTAGAGATAGAAGGAAATATCCAACCTTTCCTAGGTGAAGATCTCTTAGGATACCAAATTTTCAATTCAAACATTGTTTATATATAGTTTTAGTTACTTTAATCACATAAGATTTATAGATCAATGTGAATAAAGAATTTTACTGAATTTTCTCTTAATTTTTTAGGTATACAATAAAATCTATCAACAGTTATTATTTATCTCTACAGAGACAAAACACATATTACATTAAATATTCTTTCCAGATAACCTATCCTTTAAAAACCACTTTTTGCAAATGGTTGACTGAGCACTAAAATGAAATTTATTTAACATATTACCAATTGTGCTGCGAGAGTGAAGGTAAAGAATCACAATCCCTGTGAATGACGTGATTTTTCCTTTATGGTCCCACGTCTCCTTCATTTTCTTTTCCAGTAAAACATTAAACAGAAGCAGTGTATATTCTGTTTCTTACAGATTTTGAAGAAATTCTTCTAAAATTGTATTAAGTTCTAATTTTCCATAAGTTTTCTTATTGCTAGGCTTTATCTAGTTATGGCATTTCCATTCTATTCCTCATTTGTTAAATGTCTTTTTTCCCTCATTAATGATTTAAGGTTTATAAATGCCTTTTCTCCCATTCTTGAAAGAATTATACCTTTTTCCCCTTTCATCTTTTTCCCTTAATATTTTCTAATCTAAATCAATTTCCCATTCCCATTGCTTCTCGCAATGCTCTTTTACACCTCATATTTTATATAAAAGATATGTCCATCTAAGTGGAAGTTATTGGCATATCTCATATTGCTTTGATCAAGTTTTAGTACTGAGATCATGAGAGGTTAATAAAATGAGTTGGTGGGTGGTGATCCCTCTTGCTGGGTTTGCTGGAAGACAGTGGGTGAGGTATAGCTTACTTCTTGAATATTTGGTAGAACTCCCTATTAAATCTGTTGACACAAGGTTTATCTTTGGGTCGCATGCCCCAAGGTTATGAAACAGAAATTCTTCCTTTGGGAGTCTTGGTTTGTCTGATTAAAACCAGACTCAAGTACACACTCATTTCATGACCACAAGTATTTTACTAAAAATATTTGGGGAGGAGATGAGAAGATAAAGGATAACTTGTCATAAAAAAGCCAATAAATTATATTGTACTTATTACTATCATGTCATTAATTAACAAACACCACATCTGATAAAATGCTAAAACAACCCTGATTTCACTTTGACAAAGTTTCATGCTCAAAATTTTGATGAATTTTGTTCCAAAGGTGAAATGCTACTTGATTTTTGTTTATTCTTCTAAAATCAAAGTATACCCCTCCTCTTCAGAAATGAATTTTAATAATAAAATGTTTCTTACCCAAGTCATCCGAGCTCTGTCCTTTGTGTTATAGCGGCACTCAGTAATCAGGTTATCTCCCTAAAACATAAAAGCAAAAGCTTTTCAATGGAAGTTGTTTACTGTTTTTATTTGTTTGTTTGTTTTTTACCTAATTCATTTGTAGGCCAGCGGTTGACATTTGCTGTATGAATGTCTGCATCAAGTAATTTCTTTCAGAGGAAGGCCCTTGATCAATTTAATTGTAGGATAGCTATAAGATTACCTAACTCCCCAACAAGTAAGGTTCTCTGCTTTCAGCTCAGACGCTGCCACTAACTTGTGGCATAACAGTAGGTAAGGACCTGTACCACCTTATTATTTTAAATCATTATGAAAATAGCACATGCATTACACTATGATTGTGGGGAGATTATGATAGAAGCAAGTTTGCTCTTTAGCACAGATTAAGCACTTAATAAAAGTAATGAGAGCTACCAGCTATTACCCTTTCATTTACATTTTTCCTTTGATGGTGTATAGTCATGCTTTACTTCCTTGAAACAGAATGATGAGGCACATTAATAGTAATTTTTCCTCTTAGCACCTTTCAACCTTTTAAAGATTACATCATAAGTAGAAAGCAATAACAGGTTTATGGCTCACCACTCAGGCAAATAAAGGAAGCCATGCAGTCATTGGACACAGTGAGTTAGTTAGTTTATTGTGCCAACCTGGCCGATAAACACATATGGGGTAAATTGAAGGGAGGAGGGATAAATGGCTCGGTGAGCCTCGCCTTTCTAGTTCTCGGGTCTCGTGCTTTGTGATGGTCGCACCAGGGTGCAGCTGCCTTA